TATATAACTGTAGAGTATATATATTTTCAGATGGTCTAAGGCGACCCCTGTGAAAGGGTCGTGCGATCCCAAAGGGGTCGCGACCCACAGGTTGAGAACCACTATTTTAAACGAACCGTTGAATCGTTAACATTAGTGTCTTTAAAAAGTAGAACTGACGGTCTGCAATTAAAAAGAAAAGAAAATTATTATTTTTTTTTTTGTAAAATAAGTTTTGTTTTCATGTTTAGAATATGCGATCTTATCTTTTATTTAAAGGAATTTTCGCAAGCCACTATCTTGAGCCTGTAAATTGTGTTCTGTATTGCTCAAAATATTCCTGATACGGTTAAAATTTCTGCCCGGTGAATGTGTTGCGTAAATCTGTCTACTTTCATTATTCGCAGCTTAAGCTCCAGAGATGCACAGCGGAGCACCAAGATCTCATTGACGACTACCAGTCGGAGATGGAGGACCTCCACGAGTTATCCTACGTCCTTGACATTCCCCAGCCTCTGTACGGAAATAATCCGCTCAAACACATCGGAGTTACCCGCCTTAACCTCAGTGCCAGACGATTTTCTGCTTGCTGACCATTGACCGTGGGCATCATTTGACCTCGTGGGGCTACGTCTGGCTACGTAGACGGCCTGGTCTGATGTGGCAGTCTATTCTGCTGAGAACTGTTGGATAAAAATATTCAGAACAATCAGTTCAGTTGAGTTCCCATAAATTATGACGCCATCGACTCATCGATGTTGTAACAATATGTTGACACTTTGATTTTTTTTTTTTAACCAGCCAAGTGGGCATCCTATTTTTCTTTATATTATTAAGACATTCTAAAAACTGGCTGTATGGGGTCCTGGGATATACACCCAGAGGCGTGGCTAGAGTGTTTGGCGCCCGGGGACAAGATTCATTTTAAAGAGCCTCCCATTCTTTTTTCAACTCTCAAACCCATTATTTTCATCAATATAATCATATCAAAGCACATTTTGGCGCCCCTAACTAGTCTGGTGCTCAGAACTAGTCTGGTGCTCAGGGACATCTGTCCCCCCTGAACCCCCTTAGCCACGCCTCTGTATACACTTAGAGAGTTCCACACTCAAACATAATGAACAATCATGTGGCATATTCTGATCATTTATTGCATGTTGCATAAAGTGAAGTGATATAAATGATAAGTGTGATTCTTGTTATTTTTGTTGAATGAGTTTGGCCACAAATTCAATGTCAAATATCAGCGATCCAGCTGGGAGACCTCAGGGGACTGAACTAATAATATCTCTGTTGATTTTATGTGATAAAAGTTAGAGAGTAAAGGCCCGGTTCATAGGCCTTGTATTAAAGACTCTGTATTTAGGCCTTGTACTTGAAGTATGACTGGAAGAGAATCAATTTTAAAAGTGTATAATAGTATAACAAGTGGCGGGATCTGCAATGGAAACTAAAGAAACAAAAAAAAATAAAAAAATAATAATAAATTAACTTTTCGCATTTCAAATTTTGTTCATTCACGTGGTAGGGTGAAGACGTATTCCATGTCATGTGGGTAAACCTTCTATTTACAAATATAATATCAGAAGCTCTGTTATCATGTGTATCAGAGACAACATTGATCTTTTAAAATAATAATAATAATAATAATAAAGTTTCAATTGCTAAATTTAGACATCTTATTGAACGTGAAAATAGCAGGAATATTACACGACTGCATGGTCTAAGGGAGGTAATTCAGGAAAACCAGAATACTTTTTTTTAAAGATCTATCTTTCTAAGTATTAAACTAATCATTAAAATTATCCCTGAACTGCACACATTTTCAGCCAAGAACTACACACTACACATCAGTAGCCCTGAACTTAACACAACACATCCGCAGTCCTGAAATAAACACAACACATCAGTAGCTCTGAACTACACACGACACATCAGTAGCCCTGAACTGCAAACAACACATCAGTAGCCCTAAAATACAAACAACACATCAGTAGCCCTGGACTAAACACAACACATCAGTAGCCCTGAAATACAAACAACACATCAGTAGCCCTGGACTAAACACAACACATCAGTAGCCCTGAAATACACACAACACATCAGTAGCCCTGGACTAAACACAACACATCAGTAGCCCTAAAATACAAACAACACATCAGTAGCCCTGGACTAAACACAACACATCAGTAGCCCTGAAATACAAACAACACATCAGTAGCCCTGGACTAAACACAACACATCAGTAGCCCTGAAATACACACAACACATCAGTAGCCCTGGACTAAACACAACACATCAGTAGCCCTGAAATACACACAACACATCAGTAGCCCTGAACTACACACGACACATCAGCAGCCCTGAACTAAACACAGCACATCAGTAGCCCTGAACTATACACAGCACATCTAAAGCCCAAAACACTTCCAATGTTATATTCTCGGTGGATGGTTCTCCTGTTATACTTCAGCATGATCATCACGATATTATTATCCTATGATTGTCCTGACCATGCTAGTTAGTGACCAGGTCAATGATCATCACGATATTATTATCCTATGATTGTCCTGACCATGCTAGTTAGTGACGAGGTCAATGATCATCACGATATTATTATCCTATGATTGTCTTGACCATGCTAGTTAGTGACGAGGTCAATGATCATCACGATATTATTATCCTATGATTGTCCTGACCATGCTAGTTAGTGACGAGGTCAATGATCATCACGATATTATTATCCTATGATTGTCCTGACCATGCTAGTTAGTGACGAGGTCAATGATCATCACGATATTATTATCCTATGATTGTCCTGACCATGCTAGTTAGTGACGAGGTCAATGATCATCACGATATTATTATCCTATGATTGTCCTGACCATGCTAGTTAGTGACGAGGTCAATGATCATCACGATATTATGATACTTACGTTTTGACCAGTTAGCTAGTGACAAGGTCAGTTGCTGCTGTTTAGGGTACCGGTAACTGCTAAGTAGAAGATTAAGCCGTAGACATCTGTTAAATTATTGTACAAAAAAATAAAAATCTTCGCAACGAAAAAGCTACTGGGACAAAGCTACTGGGACAAAGCTACTCGGACAAAGCTACTGTGACAAACCTACTGGGACAAAGCTACTGGGACAAACCTACTGGGACAAAGCTACTGGGACAAAGCTACTGGGACAAAGCTACTCGGACAAACCTACTGTGACAAACCTACTGGGACAAACCTACTGGGACAAACCTACTGGGACAAAGCTACTGGGTCAAACCTACTGTGACAAACCTACTGGGACAAAGCTGTAAGGACAAAGCTGTTGAAAAAACACCACACAAACGTAGTTAGAAAATGACGTAACACCGTATTATTGTGTTTAAAATATCAGATAATGTTGTAGCTTTGTTACGGGTCTCAAATTGGTACGGGAATACCCCCGCTATCACCCATGTGAGTTACGCCTCTGCCTTATGTTCCGCGAGGCCCTTTTTACGGTCCGGAATGTGAATGAGCCAGCATCTGTTGACTAGTTGATGTAACTCCTGCTATAGTGTTAACTCTGTACAATGTAAACCTTATTTGTTAACCGATGCAATAAATTCGATGCCATGAAGGAAAAAAACAAACCTACGAGTTGATAAGACATTTTTCAGTGTGTTTTAATTTATTACGACACTGTACACCACATATATGTTTTTTTGTAATCTTAAAGCTATAGGCATATCCATTATCTTGAAAGCCATTGTGATGTGATGTGTTCTTTACCTCGAATACAGACAAGGGAAACTGATCAAGAATTATCTTGTAAAATTTTTAACAACCTTTAATATTTTATTGATATTCTTCCAATGCCCCACCAACTTTAAAGCACCAAATATTTCTGTAAAACAAAATAAAATATTACGCACCAAACGCACTTGCGATATTTTTAAGAATCTCATTTAGCACAGTTATCGGGAATTTTATTTCCTGCAATCGGTAGCATTATAGTGGATTTTTTGTAGCATTAAAGTGGATTTTTTGTGGGTTGGGGCTGAAAATTTGAAAGAATGTGTTGTCATCGTCAACGTTTCAGCTCGATATGTTGACAGGAAGTGGGTCAATTGCCTTTCAAAGATATTTCCACAACACCATTAAAAAAAAAAAAAAACACGAACAAAAGCAAAGTTACATTTAACAATCCCTAACAACAAAGTTTTTATAATTAATCCTTAATAAAATCTAATGACGAGTAAGTGGGGATGGGGCTGAAAATTTGACAAAACATGTATACAAGTAACCCAATTAGTGATCCCCCCCCCCCCCCAACCGCCACTAAACTCACAACCGCACATTTTTGTACGCCCCTGAACTATATTAGTCTAATATTTTTATGACCCTCCGGCAGAAAGCTAGGAACGCGGAAAGTCATGGATTAATCCATATGGAAGGATGTGGTGAAGCAGGTCAGAGCTCTGTAGTGCCACTGATGATGATGAAAGTCCTCTTCCATTAAAGCTACAGTGTGGCCCAAAAATGTGAGAACACGTGGTAGAAAAGGGTTATTTAATCTATTTAATCATTTTAAGAAAAAAATTACAGTTGTATGCCAAGCATTAGGCTAATCTGAAAATATGTTCAATAGGCCGCCATACCACTTTTGCTTCTCAATGAATATAAACTATTATTGATACAGTTAAACAAAATTTGATGTAATTATATCACATTGTAAGAGATTGCTATCACTATTCTGGGCCACCCTGTATAATACGCATTTATGAGTTTTGCGATGGTTATATCAGAGAATTCAGTTCTCTCCTCTCATCTCAATGTTATTTATAGGGATAAATAGATTTAAGCATTTCCTCCATCACTTGGCAACTTTTGCTGTTGGCTAATTTCATGTTATAAAACACCAGTATATTGGCTCTTAGCTCTTTTTATGTCATAAATGACCAGGACTTTTGCTGTTGGCTGGCTTTATGTTAGGACAATGCACTAAGCAGCTCCTCACTACTGATTGACCTTGTCAAGTAACCACTCAAAAACCATCCCTCCATCAAGATCAAATTTAGAATGTACACCATCTTCCTGCCCAATCTGATGCCATAATAACCATTGTGTTTAAGGAAATTTTTTCATTATTAATCATTCTTTTAATTATTGTTCCAAACAAAAATTATCATTAATATTTTGACCAGATCAACAAAAAATAAACACAACAAGACAACACACATTCCTTAGATCTCCACCCAATGGTTACACAACATAAATGAATATGCATGTAATTTGCACTCTTCCAAAATAAATTATACACACAAAATTTTATTAAAATGAATTATATTTATATTTTGTTAAGAACTTTATTAAGAAATATCTTGTTGTCAATCAAATTGTATATGGCTCAATTTAATCAAAACTATTTTATATTATAATATTATTAACCTTATTAGTGAGTTTTTCAATCCATACCACAAACACAATGTTTTTCTGAAAAATCTTCAGATGGAAATTTTCACAATGACCAAGAGTGATATAAAAATGAACCTATGCGCAAAGTAATTATTTCCTATAATAGAAAATTATATAAATTTCAACATGACTAATGAAACGCCTGAAAAATAATATTCCCGTTGTGCATAATGACCAAATTATGTCCCATTTTATGTATATTATAATTAAACTCGTCCAAAAAGCCTTCACATGCAGCAAGGATTATTTTAAATTACTATAAAAAATATGTATAATTTTGTATAAATAAATATTACAAAATGAACAATCAGTTTTGCCACAGTAGATTTAACTATATAAACAACATTTAGTGAACATTAGCATATTACATATATTTATTAATGTGACAATTACACACAAAAAACATTTGAAATGGTTTTTCAACAAATCTATTTCTTCAACAAAAGAAAGCGAAGATTGTGAGAACATTTTTAAAAGAATTTTAAAAATTGATGGCTTAAATTTATTTTGATGTTCCATGTTCAACATTTAATAATATGGAGTGTGCTTGGGATATTACCTTAAAAAATAATTTGTTGTTTGTGTTGGAAATCCTTTCATTTTATGAACACAAAGTTACATGGCATGAAATATGCAACCTGCAAGCTGATGCCAATACTCCAAAATAAAATAATCTGACAAAAATTTTCATTTCACAGTTATTGATATGTAGATCCAAACTATTAAAGTGATTTACATGTTAATGGAAAATTTTCCATTCCTTGTACTTGTAATCTTTAGAAATTTTGAATGTTGATACTCTTACGCATCCCCAAACATTCAACTTCATCAATGAACAGGGTGTTTGCTTTGACTGCTATGTCTTCCTCCAGTTCCAACTGGTTGCGGACAAGTCCTTTGAGTGAGCTGTTAGCATCGCGTAGACGGGCTTGCAGCTGAGCAACAGAATCACTGATTTCGTGTACCTCCTCAATGAGTTTGTACTGCACGGGGTCACGGCAGAGTTCAACATTGGGCCTGTGTTGTCTGGTCTCAAGGCGTGTCTGAGCTACTTTCATTGGGGCTTCCTTGGCTTGGATGGCCATCTGCAGAGTTGCAATGTTCTCTTCCTGTTCCTTGATTTGAGTAATGACCTAGACAACAGAAAAATCAGAAAAATGTATTTTTAATCAGTAACACCTCATAGAAATACAATTATGCAGTTTTTCATTATTTAAAGAAAACTGGCGGCAGAGGCTCCAATCTCTTCAATTTCACTGTGTCACCATTCCTACTCATCTATAGCCCCCTCTTCTTCAAAATCAATCTGCTAAAGGGATGTAATTGCATTGCATTATGAACAATCATTTATACCCCTCTAAATGGTAAAAAAGATAGCACCAACAACCTGGCTCACTGTGATGGCAATACTACTATGAATAATTCTTTAACATGAACATAATATTTCCCCCACATTGTTGAATACCTTGTTGAGATTATCCTCCAGCTTTCCCTTGGTGTCCTTACACTCCCAGATACGATTGGCAAATGCCACATTGGTATTGTCGACCTGTTTACGCATGTCATTGCTGGTCTGCTGTAGAAGTCCATCAATGCTAGATCGTAGATCAACAGAGTTCATCCTTTCCCTCTCAGCATAGTTGATGTTGTCATTTGAGAAATCTACCCACTGTTCAGGAGACACAGAACTGAAACAAAAAATCAGAAATTTGCTTTACAGATCAAGAGATGATACAGAGAACAATGAAACAAATTATAATTTTAAGTGACCCACAGCAAAATTAAATGAAAATCACTTTACACCCCATCATTATCATGTTTTTATTCCAGTTGTAAAAGTTAAATACAATTACTATTTTAATTGCCTGAATTTTAATTCTTTAATTTTAAAAGTGAGGAAATTGACAATGTCATACTTGTAGAAAAAAATCAGGATTAAAAAATAACAGAGACAGCAACCTCTACATAAATAAATTAAACTAAACTTTCATCAAAACTAAAAGATGCCTGTTACAAAAATTATACAGAAAAAAACTTACAATTGGAGGATATTTATAGTGGTAAATGTTAAAGACTCACTTGGGTTCAACTACAGCCACTCCATCATTAAAATGTATTTGATGTGAGTTGTTACGAAGGTTCTCACAATATTCATCAATGGTCTGAGCTCCAAATTTATCTTTCAGATCCTTCTCAAGTTGATATTTGGCTTTGCGGTTCAACCTTTCAATAAGAAAAATGTAGATTTTAAATAACTTTATGCACCAGAACTTTAATATTTACACAAATTATTTAAAGTTGTTTAAAACATTTTCACAATTTGAATATTATATTTGAATAATTTGATTATAATTAAAATACACTATGACTTTTTGCTTTAGTTCATACTAAATATTTTTGACAATGCATTATTGTAAATTATAACAATGCATTTCTAATTCCAAGTCATTACCTTAGTTGTTCAGTGGATTGTTCTAATGTTCTTTTCAGTAGAGCCTGAACACCCTCAATGGTCTCAACTTCCTTCAACAGTTCTTTCTGTACATCATCATGAACTAGATCAATGCCAACGCGTTTTTCTCTAAAACAAAAAATACAAACATAATAATAATGTAATTTTTCTGAACTTCATTGGGTGGAAACAGAAAGAAGTAGTCGAAATTTGACTAAATGCATATCCTTTTATATAATTTAGGCCTATTTTATATCAAACCTCAAAGTACTGCCTGGGCCAGTTATGCCACAGGTAAAGGCAAAATGTAATGCTTTACAGCTCATATGATGTGAAAACAAGATCACAGAGAAACAAAAGCAGTTGGACAGGACAGGAAGACAATGTTGCTATTTTAATTAATTTTAAATTTCATATTAACGTCCAATAATCTGGCAATGTTCATAAACAATACAAAAACAAAAAGATGTAATATTTAAAGTGACAACAGATGTTACAAATGAAGTATATAAATAATTTCTAAATGAATATCCTTCTCCATTATTAAAATCTGTTCATAAAATGTTGGCATGAAGAAATGTAATTATTTAGTGGGAGTTTCTACAAAAAAGAAGATTTTTAATTTAATTTAAATCTTAATTTCTTGGGGGAGAAAAGGCTAAATTAAAATTAATAGGAAATAATGAGGAATTAAAAATCTATGAACCTGTTGGCCAGACACATTCTGGCAATATGCAAAGGCTCTTCGGTTGCCTGGAGGGCTTTATCAACACGTTGTTTAAAAGCCAACAAGTTCTCAATTTCTTTGGACAACCCATCAAGTTTGTCATCCAATTCCTTCTTCCAGTAGCGAATGTCTGCCAGACGTTGTTCTAAAAAATAAAAAGAATTAAATAAATATACATTTGATGCAAATAACTTCTATTCTTATTATTATTGCAGTCATTATTTTTGTAGTTGCCCTGCTCTCTATCATAGCTTCATTTTCTAAGAACTTATGAGACAGCATAAGCAGTACATTCATGGTGCACAGATATGAGGATAAACAATACCAAGATTTTCCCAGGGCTGTAGGTAGCCTTGTTTTTCATTTTAAAAGCTTTTATTTGCTATATGCATCTGTGATGCATCTGTATATGTTTCACACATGTTTATGTTGCATTTAAAATAACAAAACTCAAAAAGTTAGAGAGCTGATATTGCCAAACAGTTAAGACTCAATTTAACTTTTAATGTTTCAAAATTTGTTGCAGCAGAGCCTACCCTATTTAACAATTTTGCAAACAAAAAGCATTAAAGTTATTATAAACCATAAACAAAGAAAAGAATATTCTTGTAGAATTTTTATGTTAAGCAACACTACGATTGCTCATAATGTAAAAGTGAAATAACTTCTATAACTATAGCTTTTGAAAATATTTTATGGTCTTTAATTTTCAAATTCTTTCATTTTACATTTCCAAAAGGAATAAAATATTTTAATACTAATTACACTAGAAGACAGTACTTACTCAGAAGTCCCTTGCCTTATTACTGTTTAAAATTTTTTATTGCTCACCCAATTTCTTGTTAACATCTCTTTGAGTTTTCTCGGTACGTTTTGCAGTCTCATCTTTTAGCCTATCAGATTCTTTAATTAATCGCTCAGCTTGCTGTCTTTCCACATCAGCATTTGCATATTTTGTTAAATTGGACCTGGTCCAATCTTCATGTGTAAATCTAGTAGGGGCTGTGATAAGCCTTGCCATTCTAAATTGGAATTTAAGTTATAAAATTAGTTTTAAAAACAAATTTTAAAAGAACAAAACAAAAATAATGTCAGTTAATGAAATCAACAGGTCCAGTATTATTATTTCACTACCTATGACAAGACCAGAAAATTATTTTAAAATAGAGCTAAGCCAGAAAATGTACACTATTCATAAAATAGAACCAGTTATAGGCTTATGCACTGCCTTACACTCAATACTGTAATATAATTTAATTTTAGGGACTAAATTAGGGCCAAGCCTGATGAGTGAAATAATATTGAAATATATTATTATTAGTTTTTAGTGATGTGTCTTTTTCAGTCAGCAATTATTAGAGATCGCCCCGCGATGGCTGCCATCTTGCTTGACACAACCAGTTAATTACTTAATTTATGTCACTAAATGTATCCCTAAACCGTCTAAACATACCCTGAACCCTAAATTAAATGTATCCCTTAACCTTAGTGTTTCAGTTTCAGATACACCCCAAAAGTCAAAAGTGAATTGGCGTAACCGTAGGTCAAAGTAAAGTAAAGATTACTAGCGTATTGTTGAATTTCTAATTTTGATAATATTTAGTGAATAATTTATTTATTTTAAACATTATTTGTATTTTTCTAACCTAGAATCCGATGGTCAAACAGGAAAGTAGTCACACGTACGCTTCCGTGAGATGCTGTAAACAGCAGCTACCTTAGCAACGGGGTTGCCAACGACTAACGTGCTGAAGTTAAACGTAATTCTATTGGAAGAGAATGACACATTAAATCTGATTGGCTGATCATTTGGTTATGGATAAGATTTTTGAAAGTTAAAAAAGTAATACTCACTTCCACCTTGGGAAATTTCACAAAATCTTGGGAATTCATGACTCCCATTGGGATCTGGGGGAAATTAGTGAAAATCAGTCAAAACCTTGGGAAATCTTAACGGAAGATATTTTGTTTACGTATTTGGATAAAACGCAAACATTATATGTGATAAAAATTAAAGTGAAAATAAACTAAAATAATTTGTAAAATAACAAGGATAAAATTAATTTTTTAATTCATTTCTGCATGTTAAGGACTTGAATGTATATTGATATTGTGATTGCGTGTTGGGCAGATGTGTACATATAAAGTAAAAGAGATAAGTGTTTCTTAACCTTGTCAATAGGAAAAAATAAAAGATGATGTTTTTTTTTCTGATTTTTTTTTGGACCTCCGCCGAACCCCTGAGACTGACCCCACCGAACCCCTGTGGTTCGCTCGAACCCAGGTTAAGAACCACTGAAATAGATGTAGCATGACGTGCTACATGTAACTGGGTCCCAGTGTAAACTTTAATAAGAAGTGTTAGAGATGGGTCTGTTCAAACAAAAGATATAAGAAAAGGCTTCGTATTCAAAAATAAATAAATGAAACTCTCCACCTGTCTGCAGAGATTGAAGAAGAGGAAGACATTTAGTTCATAGTAGACCCATGGTGGGGGTTAGGTCGTAGATTGCAGAGTCTAGTGACGCAGATGCGCACCGAGCACTGCCCCTTGCGCACATATTCCTAGAGGTTGGACAACAACAGAGATCCTACCTGCCGGCATTGCTGCCTGGCCCCAGAGACCTTAGAACATCTGTTGACTGAATGTCCCGCACTAGATGTCCCGGGGGAAGCCAGGGCGGTTGGAGGATCCTTTGTGAGGGAAATGTTGTATGGCTCAGCTCAACAGATGGAGTTGATAGCCAATTTACTAGCCGGGGTCATAAGAGAGTAATCTCAGACCTTCACCAGAATATGTGCGTTAGTTAGTTCATAGTAGAAAATCTTTATAATCTCAAAAGAAATTCTTATTGAAATGCAAAAATAAAGAGTTGAGATTGTTTCAAATTTATTTCATAGGGACAATATTGTATTGTATATATTGATTAAATATATTTCTTGAACACTGGGGAGACAAAGCTAATGAAACTCCAACTGTAGCGTGAGCCAACATTGTCACCCCAACAGCCATTTATGCCAATTAGTCATAAAAAAATGACAAAGTCAACACACCAGACATAAAATGTTACGATGTGTTCAATCAAGAATCCATAATAAAATGGATGAATTTCAATTACTTCAACAATGTGCGTTTGATTAGATTTATAAAAAAAAATTCTTTGTGCATAAACTATGATGGATCTGTAAAAATCTAGCCTAATTTTTATCAGGTGATTAAGATATTGAAACTATAATATATTATATTGTAGGATTATAACTGAAAAGGTAATTGAAACAGTATTTTGTTTGAAAACAAATTGTTATAATGTAAATTTACAAGAAAAAATAAAAATAGTTAATGTTTTCATAATCATTGTAATCCATTTTCAATACAATTATTATTATTAAATTCTGCTTAATTGCTTTACAAAGCACATTACTAATCAACAGACTTACAATAAGAAAAAATCATTTCTGATGAAGAAATACCTCTAGTGTTGGCAGCATGCTAGAAACACTAGGCTGGTCACCATTGGAGAAACGACGACGACAATCCAGGCTCTCCATGATGTACAAGATAAATAATGGGCTGGTCCACTGTTCCAGTATTAAA